CACCCAGTAAAGCTGCTGCGTTCAAAGCTTATTTAAATGATGTCGATACACAGTCACAGAAAATAGAAAATCTCAGCTTCCGCTGGACTTCCATACATTTTTAAAGAAGCACATAATACTATTCAGTTTTAGTGCCTTATAATCCTTTGTAAATATTCCAGTTTCGTTGGAATTCTTGTCTAGAAATACCATAGAAAATGCCTGATTTATGTTAAGTGGTAGAGAATGCTTTTCAACCATTCTCACTTTTGTAGAGTAATAGAATGCGGCATATAAGTTGGGTTGAGTTGGTCCAGGACTGGTTGGACGGTATTTTGGTATTCTCCAATTAGTTTTACTTTGAATCCAGCCAGAATAATAAACAATTAATTTATATATAAAAGTATCATTGTTTGTAATGAAAATTATATCAAATTAAAATCCAATTAGTAAGTCCATGAAGTGAATTTAATTTTGAATTTTAAAGGTAGACAATTTTCATTCAATTAGTTTGTAGTAGAAGTTTTAACAAATATTTACATTAAATGTTAGCAAAAGTTATAAATACTCCGATTAATTAAAAGTATATAATATGGGCATTAAGTAGTAATTTCCCAGGACTCAATCAGGATACAATGATTAATATGGAAACAGATAAAGCGTAGGCTAGATAAAAGAGTCATATAAGAACAAGGAAAAAGAGTTAGAGGTATTTTTATGAGATATTATAGATAGTACAAATATAATTAAAAGAACATCAGCTAGAAAAAAGTAAATAAATAACAATTATATTTGAGAATAAGTAAGTTGTGTGATTTATCCTATTTTACTATAGAAATAATTCTAAAAACGGTTCTGAAGATATTTCATTCCATTCAGAAAAATCCAAGGAATTTCAGACTACCTGTAGGCGTCCCTTTATCAAAGGAAGCCAAAATTATGACCCTAATAAAGCACTTTAGTACATTTGTACCTTAGACGTAATCGTAATGCTCAAACCATTGTTAAAAATGTCAATAAATAGATATTGAGTAAGTAATATTAAACATTTTCACTTATTCAATTAAGAATAGTAATTAGATATTTATAAAATTTTATCGAAACAGGAATTATATCATTAAATTGCGTCAATATTGTGGAATTTACAGAATAATAATAATAATAATAATAATAATAATAATAATAATAATAATAATAATAATAATATAGATATTAAAATGTTATTAGATATTAGCATTATGGTATAAGAGGTTGAAAATAAAGTTGTAAATGTAAAAAGAATTTTATTTAAAAAAAGTCAAGAGAAAATAGTTTAGAGGACATCGGCAAGGTAAACAGAACGAGGTAGAAATAATGAAAGAAACAGAAGTAATTAATAAAAACAATGTTATAATATTAAGAAAAGAAGTAAAAATGAAAATAAATAGTAGAAGAAAAGGAATAATTGAAGAATTAACAGAAAAAAAAAATTTGTAAGAAGAAAAACGTAATGTTATTATGACAAATAAAAGTAAAACAAATACAAAAGGAATATGAAGTGAAAAGTCAAATATAAAATAAAAATGAAAGACAGGAGAATGAAAGGAAAATTAGATTAGGCGAAGAGGAATATTTGAAAATAATAAAAAATCGAAGGTTGACTAAGAAGGAAATAGAACAAAAGTGAAAGAAAACATAAAAATTTGAATGAGGGATGGAATTTTAAGATTTGAAAATGACCAAAATATGGGAACTGAGATAATAAGTTGATAATTAGATGAATGTGAAAGAATGTAGTAAATGAAAGAGCAGAATTAAAATTGATAGGATTAATATTGTTCAGGTAGAGAAAGACCGTGAAGTATTTAAATTTGAGAAACATAGATCAAAAAGTAAAACAAGTTTTAATTGAATAGAAAGAAGAATTGGAGAAAGAGAATTAGAGATAAAAAACTTAATTGCTTGGCAAACTTGTAATGTTTAAAAAAAATTCTAGGATTAAATATAGTATTACCAAACCATTCTAAAAATGAAATAAAATACAGAGTGTTTTATTTAAGAAATATACATTTTTATATGCCAGGCAAAAATGTAACACCCTATATATCCTAAAATATATTTAAAACATGTATTTTTTAAATCCATATAACTTTTATTCAAAACTTGTATAAGTGTATATAACACAAATTGAAATATTGATCAATTACGCACTTATGCGACACCCTGTATAAGCAAACTCGTAAAGAAACATTGATCTTCTTTTAGATGAATTTACAAAATTAAAAAAAAAAAAACAAAGTTTGGGACAAATATAGAAGCCATTACGAAGGATAAAATGTACAAATTAGGTACTACGAATAAATTACCATACTCCTTTTTATTGATAAGACTAATTAAATAGGTACTAAGAATAACAATCAGTAAGATAAAGAAATGACACTAGTTTACAACAAATAATAGCATCAAAAGATTGTATCAGCTCTAAATAGCGTTTGATTCTTTTTTTCTTTATTTAGACAAGGAAAGACGAATTTAACATCTAGTATTTTGAGCCTCAATTCCCGTAGCAACCACAAATTTGTGCGAATTTGAAATTAAAAGCAATAAATTATTTTAAAAATATTCAAGTTTTAATCATCTCAAGAATATTATATAAAATAAAAAAGAAACAGTAAACAATTGTAATAATAAGATATAATTTCAAATTTAATTAAAATGAATCAATATTTCCCCGTAAGCTACACTTTGTGAATTTCCTGGAAATTGAAACGTGTATTTAATATAATTTCTATGGAAAACGCATGAAATATTTAATTAGAACATTATTTAACCATCATTAATTAATTATGTTGTTTTTAACATTTGTTTCATTTGATTAATTAAAAACCTTATTTCATGATTCAAGATAAAGTTAAATTTTCCGAATGAACAATATGATAATACCCAACACCCAACTTAAATAATTTTGGACGTTCCAAAAGTTCTAAACTTTAAATAATTTAATGGTATTGATAATTGAAAACCGGTGTAGTCTTGAATACTTTACAGTAGTTTGTAAGCCATTTTAAAACTGTCAACAGCATTCGTCGGAAAGCGTGCAAAAACAAGCTTTACAGAATTACTGGTTCAAACGAAATAGTGTTTACTTTGAAAGAGATTTGTGGATATGTTAAATAATAAATGTAAAACGTTTAAATTAATATATACACGGAAAATATTTAGTTATGTAGGGTGTAACAAAAAGATGTACAGTAAATTTAACCACAGACATAAAAGGGACAAAACAAATGTAAGATTTCAGCGGCATCTTTTTTATAACCGAATTACATTGTGTTTAAAAGTACGTGGTTAAATAGCTGCAAAAACCTACAGAACTTAACAATTTTAGACACGACTAACTCCATTTTATTGGTCATTACATACTAACATCCCATATACATTTTCATAAAAATATGTTTCCGAAATTTCTACTCACCCTGTAACATTTTTACTATCCATTTTTTATATAAACAAGTTAACTTAAATAGATTTATTTTCGACTCCAGAAACTGTGGTTAAATTTACCGTACATCTTTTCATCACACCCTGTAGACTGACACATCAATGTATGAATTGCAAATCAAATTTAGAAGTGAAATGATGATTTACATCGCCTTATCTTAAGTTTAAGCTTAAACTAAGGCGAAACCTAAAAAATTAAAACTTATTTTACTGTATTTAGACTTTTTTAGACTTCTTTTGATCAGTAATATTTGATCTAAGTATGTTACGTTTAATTGTCTTATTTTTAATCAGAGAATCTTCGGTTCTTCTGTGTCCCATTCTTAATGAAACACCCTGTATATTGGTTCACTTAAAGCGTTTTGGTAATTTTTAATTAATTTTATATATTGTATATATTAAGTGCATTTTTAGACTTTTTAGACTATTTTAGACTGATTTTTTTTAAATTTTTATAGACTTTTTCATACTTTTTAGACGTTTTAAAACCTTTTTAGACTTTTTTAGATTATTATATACTTTTTATACTTGTTCTAGACTTTATTTATACTTTTTTGGACCTTTTTATACTGATTTTATATCTTTTAGACTATTTTAGACTTTTCTACTTTGAACTTTTTTTTAGACTTTGTTTAAAGTTTCTTATACTTTTTTGGAGTTTTTTTTTATACTTTTTTTGGAGTTTTTTAGACTTTTTTTAATAATTTTTAAATTTTAACACCCTGTATTTCGGAAACCAATAATATTTGATGTTACGTTTAATTGTCTTATTTTTAATCAGAGAATCTTCGGTTCTTCTGTGTCCCATTCTTAATGAGACACTCGATATATCGGTTCACTTAAAGTGATTTGGTAAATTTTAATTAATTTAATATATGTATATATTAAGTGCATTTCAAAAGCAGTTTCCCCCGTAGACTAGGCCACGAGCCGCCACTGTACAAATTAGCCCTTGTGATTAATTATTGAATTCTATCCCGTTTTGTAATAATTATAAATTAAAATTGTTGATTTCTTACACTTTAAAATGACATGTTTGTCGATAATTTTGATAATTAAAACGTGCTTTTTTAGATTTTTTAGACTTTTTTAAACATTTTTAAACATTTTTTAGACTTTTTGAAACTTTTACAGTTTTCCAAGACTTTTTAAAAACTTTTCAAATACTTTTTTAGACTTTATTTAGACTTTAAATTTTTGAGACTTTTTTTAAATTATTTTAGACTTTTTTTAGACTTTTTTTAGGCCTTTTAAATTTTTTTTCCTTTGAAAATTATACTGTAAGTGTAAAAAATAATAGCTAAATAATTCTACAAAAATAATTTGATGTAAACTTCAATACGCGTAGTTACAGCACCCTTCGTATTGTATATTGTTTTATGAAAACTTTTACTGCAAATAAACAAGGGGTGAAAAATTTGTATACAGGAATTTTATAAATAGGAATCTTCTTCATAATCAAGTAAGCATAAAAATGAATCCCGTTAATTCCCTGAACCCCGTAAATTTATCATTTAAGAAACTTACGATTTCGCACTTACCATAAGCTCTCTCCTTAGTTTATCCAACTCCAAGGCGGATGGTGGCGGTGAGTTTTTGTTAGACCGGCCTCGGCGCAGTTCTTCCAACTGCCTTGTAAGTTCCTCCACTTTCGCCACTGCCAGCGATAATTCTTTCTCTTTTTCATTGAACAGAGCTCTAATCGAGTCAAGATCACTAGCTGAAAAGAAAATATAAAAATTAGTTATTCCAATTTTTCCCTTTTTGAAATTCAGTAAAATGGCTCATTTTTTTTTTTAATTTATCTTCTTTAAAATTAATTTTTGGTGAAATACAGAAAAATATTTTAAAATGTCTAAATGTTCCACCATATCAATACTTTGACATAATTTTTTACAGGTCTTTAGTTAGCTAGATTATTAATTTTTAAACAAACTTTTAAAAACCTCGTGTAATTAAAAATAAGGAGATAAAGGAGAAAAATATAACAAACATAAAGTTAACCTATTGAAACTTGCAAAAAATCGTATTTTATTTCGTAAATATACTGAATTAAACAAGCAAAACCTAGGTTACAATTATTAAAAAATTCCTTTAAAAAATTAATGGTTCAGTTAATCTAAGTACGGTCCTGTAAAACATTTTTAACTTTGTAATAAAATAGTGAAAAAGTGAGTCATTTGAAAAATATTTACACAAACAGAAAGATTTTTTGTATTTTAACAAAAAAACATTGTTTTGAAACAATGAAGATAATAAATTTAATTTTTAACAAAAAAATTAGAACAAACAAAATGCGCATATTTTAATACAGGGTAATCCTACTAATATATAAATGCGAATGTATGAATGTATGAATGTATGAATGTATGAATGTATGAATGTATGAATGTATGAATGTATGAATGTATGAATGTATGAATGTATGAATGTATGAATGTATGAATGTATGAATGTATGAATGTATGAATGTATGAATGTATGAATGTATGAATGTATGAATGTATGAATGTATGAATGTATGAATGTATGAATGTATGAATGTATGAATGTATGAATGTATGAATGTATGAATGTATGAATGTATGAATGTATGAATGTATGAATGTATGAATGTATGAATGTATGAATGTATGAATGTATGAATGTATGAATGTATGAATGTATGAATGTATGAATGTATGAATGTATGAATGTATGAATGTATGAATGTATGAATGTATGAATGTATGAATGTATGAATGTATGAATGTATGAATGTATGAATGTATGAATGTATGAATGTATGAATGTATGAATGTATGAATGTATGAATGTATGAATGTATGAATGTATGAATGTATGAATGTATGAATGTATGAATGTATGAATGTATGAATGTATGAATGTATGAATGTATGAATGTATGAATGTATGAATGTATGAATGTATGAATGTATGAATGTATGAATGTATGAATGTATGAATGTATGAATGTATGAATGTATGAATGTATGAATGTATGAATGTATGAATGTATGAATGTATGAATGTATGAATGTATGAATGTATGAATGTATGAATGTATGAATGTATGAATGTATGAATGTATGAATGTATGAATGTATGAATGTATGAATGTATGAATGTATGAATGTATGAATGTATGAATGTATGAATGTATGAATGTATGAATGTATGAATGTATGAATGTATGAATGTATGAATGTATGAATGTATGAATGTATGAATGTATGAATGTATGAATGTATGAATGTATGAATGTATGAATGTATGAATGTATGAATGTATGAATGTATGAATGTATGAATGTATGAATGTATGAATGTATGAATGTATGAATGTATGAATGTATGAATGTATGAATGTATGAATGTATGAATGTATGAATGTATGAATGTATGAATGTATGAATGTATGAATGTATGAATGTATGAATGTATGAATGTATGAATGTATGAATGTATGAATGTATGAATGTATGAATGTATGAATGTATGAATGTATGAATGTATGAATGTATGAATGTATGAATGTATGAATGTATGAATGTATGAATGTATGAATGTATGAATGTATGAATGTATGAATGTATGAATGTATGAATGTATGAATGTATGAATGTATGAATGTATGAATGTATGAATGTATGAATGTATGAATGTATGAATGTATGAATGTATGAATGTATGAATGTATGAATGTATGAATGTATGAATGTATGAATGTATGAATGTATGAATGTATGAATGTATGAATGTATGAATGTATGAATGTATGAATGTATGAATGTATGAATGTATGAATGTATGAATGTATGAATGTATGAATGTATGAATGTATGAATGTATGAATGTATGAATGTATGAATGTATGAATGTATGAATGTATGAATGTATGAATGTATGAATGTATGAATGTATGAATGTATGAATGTATGAATGTATGAATGTATGAATGTATGAATGTATGAATGTATGAATGTATGAATGTATGAATGTATGAATGTATGAATGTATGAATGTATGAATGTATGAATGTATGAATGTATGAATGTATGAATGTATGAATGTATGAATGTATGAATGTATGAATGTATGAATGTATGAATGTATGAATGTATGAATGTATGAATGTATGAATGTATGAATGTATGGATGGATGTTTGTTGCTCCATCACACCAGAACTGCTGAACGGATCAAGATGAAATTTGGAACATAGATAGATATAGTCTGGAATAGCACATAGGCTACTTTTTATCCTGGAAAAATTTACGGTTCACGTGGGATAGATTATTTTTGTTTACATAGAGCAAGGGATTAGACATGACTTTTGCATAGTACCATTATACAAAAGTGAAACATGAATATTTGAAACAAAACCTCTGAGCATAAATAAAGAATGGCGTGTTTCAGTGTTTTTGGATTTTCACATTTTAAGGACGGAAAATGGGAGTTGAAATTATGTATTTTTTTAAAGGTAAAATCTTGAAAATTTGTCAAAATATTTGTTAACATATTTTAAATTATTAGTTATACTTTTAATTAGGAATGAGCGATTTGAGTGAAATAATTGCAATCCGCAAGATATTCGTCTATATTTAGAAAAAAAACCGTCAATTTCAATAAAATAACCTAAAACCAATTTAATTATCAATGTTAAGGTTGACATTCGCCCATACAAATCTGCCGCATATGCAGACGTTATACTTTAAAGGTAGCTTTCGAGAAAATACACTTTCCGGCATTAATTTTAATTGAAAAGCATTCATGAAGTGTTCCTAGGAGTTGTAAAGACGTCTTAAGAAAACGAGTGTGTTCCTAGGAGTTGTAAAGACGTCTTAAGAAAACGAGTTTGTTTACAAATGCTCCAAAATTTACTTCGACTTCTTATATCTAAACCACGTGAAATCATTGATTTTCCTGCGAATTTTCTTCAAAACTAAACACATTTATACGTTTTATTTTTATTTCCCATAAAAATGTTTACTTTAATCATTTGAAAATAGTATTAATGTATTATTTAAACAGCTAATATTAATATTTAAAATGAAGCATGATAAAACTAGAGTGCATAAATAAAGTTTAATCAAAAGTGACAAATATAATACCCAACTCTGTCAGTATCAGTTAACATTCTACTTTTTTTTTCCAAACGAGTGTGGACATACGATACATCGTTCTGGTTACTGGCTCTAATGACAAGGCAATCAATTATATATCAGTTTTAACTTTTATGTGGAATTAATTTATTTGATACCGTGAATTAAAAATATAAGTTGTCACCAATGTAACAATTATAAGATAATAAAAAGACAGAAAAGGTTTATGGATTATATTATCTTCGTTAGTGATGCAAGTTATTCTGCATATAAACTACCTTTACGGTATTTTAATCATAAGCTTTGAATTTCCTGTCTAGCACTTCGATTCGGTAGGTGTTAAGCTATTAGTCACTCAGAATTAAGTCTGAAAAATAAAGTGGATAATAGAATTAGCCAAAGCACAAAATATTCCTGTGAATAACAGTTGTTGTCCAGTAAAATTGATCCCGCGTATTTGCCTACACCTATCTGTCACGATGATGATTCAATTTATATACAAAAACTCACACAATTCATGATAATATTGACATTGATACTTCCTCGCATAGATAGAAAAGATCAAAAATGTACCTGGATAAAAAAAGGAATAAATTAGTGTATTTACTGTATTTATTGAAGCGTCACGTCCGTCAATTTGAAATTTTTAAATATGATTTGTAGTTGAGTAGAAAAAATGTATGTAGCCGTTTGAAAAGAAATTTGAATTGCTGAAAATATACGAAGCAGTCTCTTGAAGATTTGGAATGTCTAAATATGGATACAAATGAATTTAAGATTTTAATATGAAGAAAGAAAAAAAGAAACGAATATAAAGAGTGGATACTTTGTAAAAACAATGAAGAACATAGCGTCAAAAATGTTACAAACCAATAGTATGTGTTTTTGACAAGATCTAGGTAGATCAAATTTGAAAAAAAAATATTCAAAGATTTTTTTTCATGGTAACTTTTGAATTTTGATTTCATATTTTTTAACATCCTGTATCTCGGTAACTAAAATCTTAAGGATTTCATGTTACAGAAACGGTGCAAGGAGTTAACGCCGTGGGCCACCGCCTAAGGCCTCGCGGCCTTAAGGGCCTCGCTCCTCAAAGGTTTAATGCAGCTTTCTTTAGCTTATAATTTGTTTCCTTCTCACATCTGACCTACCTATATGAAAGCAAAAATCATATAAAAGAATGTTAACTTTTAAACACTCTGTATTTTAACTTTAATATAAAAAGAACGAATAACGAATTATTTCAAACATTATCAAAATCTGTTTTTGTTCCAATATATATCTCTCGAAGTGGCGTCCTAGTGAAATAACAAATAGGTAATATCGTTTTTGTACACCTACATAAACATTAGCTTATCTACGCTCAGATTACAAAACGAAAAAGTATGCTATTGCGTTCAACTGAACGAATATATTTCATATCCATTCTAGGTAGTGAGAACACTGCAAAAAAATGAAATCCACCAATCACAGTTCATATTTTGGATACACAACCACTATTATTTTTAAAATTTTAAAGAAGTGATAATTCTGTCAAACTAATTGTCATTATATTTTTTTATTATTGAGGTTAAATATACATTAAAATGAAAGTAATTTTTCTGTAGAAACGATTTTA